GCGCCCGGCCGTCTGGACCAATCATGTTGCAGCTCAGCGGCCGGCTGTTCCCTGCCAATCACAAGACTGGGCCTGGCACCCAATCAACGCGGCGGTCGGGCGGAGCCTCTTTATCTCAGTCAATCGTGCCCCTCAACTCGAGTCGACTTCCGGCGCTGGGCCCGTCTCGTCCAATCAATGGCCTTCGGGGCGAACCGGCCGACCCAACCCCCACAGCCCTAGGCTCTTGGGTAGGATTTTGTTTCACGCTTTTTAAAGAGAAGAGGTGGCTTCTGGGCTCGGAGAAGTACTGTCTGCAGGCTGGGTCGGGGCTGTCGCAATTGCTTGCGGGCCTGACCCCGCCGAGGACGCCGAGAAGGAAAGGGAAGCGCGGGCCGGGCCGGGCCGGGCCGTGGCGGCTCGGCTTTCCCTCCCCGGGGCCCCGCGTGGGTCCAGGAACGGTCCATGTGACTTACGGGGGGGCGGGGAAGCGCTCTTGCACCTCAGAGGCAAAGCCGGAACCCTCCCAAACCTCTCCAGGCTTCCGAGAGAATTTCAGGCCCCACATTTCTTTATTGTTTAGTCCGAGATGGGTGTTAACCCACCAAAGAAAGGCAGTGAGAATCCAGAGGGCGAGTGGCCCTCATCCGACCGCCCCTCCCTCCCCGCCTTTGGCCACCCTATGGAATGGCCTTTCTGACCAGGGCAGTGTCTCACCAGAAAACGGACTGTGCTCACCCTTTGCTTGGGGGCGGGGTTCGCCCAGGGCCCAACTCGAACTCGGGTGTACGGAACTGGGCGGGGGACCAGGAAGACCCCTCACTTCCAATGTAAGGTGCTTCTCACTCACGTGTATCCTTGGCCCCTACTGTTCGCTACAACTTCTAGTGTCTCCTTAGGCCCCGGGCCTCCTCACCAGCCTACTTGCTCTAGAAAGAAAAATCAAAACATGCCCTGGGATGGATTAGGGCGCTGCTGCTTCTCTCTCTCTCTCTCTCTCTCTCTCTCTCTCTCTCTCTCTCTTTCTCTCTCTCTCTCTCTCTCTCTCTCTCGCACAAACACGTCCTTCGGCTGGCTCAAGGGAGAGGGAGCAACTGGTGGCAAAGAAGGCTGGAGATGGGGAGCCCAGCTGCCTGGTGCATGCACCTTCTTCCCTCACACATCACCCCAAAGAGGAGTAAGAAACCTCTTGCTTGGGGGTGGTTTTTGCTTTGGGCTCATAATTTAGTTACCCTACAATGACCAGGTATGGCTGACCAACACAAACTCTGTAAAAATCCCGAGCTGGCCGTGGAAATAGCCGGGAGCCTAGCTGGGGAGGAGTAGACTTGCCCCTCTGCATGCCTCCTCCCCTGCCCATGGGTCCCTTTCCCCCGGCTCACCTCTTGCCTTCTCGCTCTCACTCACTTTTCATTTCCAGCTCCGGAGTGGGCTGGGAAGCTAACAACCAGGGATTACAACTGGAAGCTACTACCTGCATGATTGAACCCAGCTTAACCCCCGCGAGGAAGCTGCGGGTGGTATTCAGCCTTCAAGGTCAGGGGATTTTAGGGGGGACAAGAGCTTCTGTGAAGCTTCCAAACCACTGGAAAGGACCCCACTCTCCAGCAGTGACAACACACATGCCACCCATTTTCTTAGTGAGTTGGTACCACCAGGCAGCCTTCTGGCTGTGGGTGTAGTTCCTGCAGCCGGCTGGGGGAACAGTAACCAGAAGAGTATTAGAGGAGGCTTGGGGTGGAGCAGTGGGCACCCCCAAAAGTTAATATATGGAGAATTTAGCTTGAGTCTGTACCTTCCTAATTCCCAAAGTAGGTGAAATAAAGAATGGGGGTGGATGGGGGGAAGTAGGGGTTTGATGGATTGCCTCCTCCCACCTCTGGAGAGCCAGGGCACCAGCCATTCTTGCCAGTCTCATCTCAACGCTTCCTGAAGAGGCTGTTTTGAGTGTTTAGAAGATGGAAAAAAAAAACAATGCAATTATGCCAAACAGTATTGAGCTCAATAATTTATTTTGTTTTTCTTTGTTTGTTTGTTTAAAACAGTAATAAACCCCCATTCTGGAAGAGGTAGGTCCCAGCATCCAGCCCAGATCTCCTTTTCTGCAATAGTTATTTAAACAAATGTTTTTTTGTATTATTTTCTTCCCTTTCTCTTTCTAAATTAAAAAGGACAAAAATACTATATAGTCATTAATCTGTTTTGAAATGTGTCAGTGGGGAGCTGTGACTAAGTAAAGGCTAAGAATGTTGGGGAGATTTTGAAGTGGGGGTATCAATTTCCCAACACCCTTATACAGGAGGCCTCCCAACTCAAAGCCAGCTGCCTCATGTCATAACTAGAGGCCCGGTGCACGAATTCGTGTACCGGTGGGGTCCCTTGGCCTAGCCTGCGGGGATCAGTGGACCTCCTTGCTGCCGCTGCCCAGCCTTACCCGCCAGCTTGTCAGTTCCGCACAGCACAAAGTAGTGCACGAAGCGGCAGGAGGCCAGGGAGGAGCATGTATGCGAGCTGGGCACCATGCTGCTCCCGCTCATCCCAGCCCCGCTGCACCTACCACCATCACTTGGTAGACTCTGCCGCTCCGCTGCGGCCTCCACGTGCCCATCCTAGGGCGATACTGGTGCACCCATGACCGCACAGCCACCGCTTGTCATTGCAGCCTCGCTCCTCACGTGGTAGCCGGCTCATGCCCAGTCATTCCGATGCCAGTCCCAATCCCAGTCCCAGTTTGGATGGGGGAGAGGCTCCAGCCACCACAGCTGCGCTTGCCAGCCATGAGCCTGGCATCTGGCGCCCATAGGTCAGCTGAGTGGCGCTCCCACTGTAGGAACACACTGACCACCAGGGGACAGCTCCTGTATTGAGTGTCTGACCCCTGGTGGTCAGTGCACATCATAGCAGCCTGTTTGAAAAGGGTAGCGGTCGTACGCTAATTACCATGTTTCTCTTTTATTAGGGTAGATATATATATGTATATATAGAGAGAGGCCTGGTGCATGAGTTCGTGCACGGGTGGGGTCCCTAGGGGTGGCCTGTGGGGATCAGCACAGTCCAATGCTGCCTGCTGCTCCTGCTCATCCCAGCCCTGCTGCGCCTGCCGCGGGCTTACGCCCAGTCAGTACTGATCGGGAGTGCCTCGAGCCGCAGTGGTGCTCACCAGCCATGAGCCCTGCGCCTGGCACCCGTCCTGAGGGAGGTAGGGGGGCCAGGATGCGATTGGCCCTCTAGGCGGGTGGTGGGATGCCCTTGCCAGCCTGGGAACCAGATCTGTCCTGCTGACATTTGCGCCGGTTGTCAGGAGCTACCTGGACGCTGCTTTTAATATATTTTATTGAATTTTTACAGAGAAGAAGGGAGAGGGATAGAGAGCTAGAAACATCGATGAGAGAGATCGATCAGCTGCCTCCTGCACAGCCCCCAGTAGGGATGTGCCCGCAACCCAGGTACATGCCCTTGACCGGAATCGAACCTGGGACCCTTGAGTCCGCAGGCTGATGCTCTATCCACTGAGCCAAACCGGTTCGGCAAGGACGCTGCTTTTATATCATTTCTTCCTTGCGGAGCATCTAGGAGGGGAAGCAGCTGCAGTGCCCAAGGCCAACTTCCAGGAGGCCAGTGGCGCTGTCGGGATCAGGCTGGTGGCACTGGTCCATCAGTGTCTGGCCCGTTCTCCAGAGATTGGACCTGCAGGACTACTGAGGGAGTGAGTGGCTGCCGCCGAGCTGGTAGGCCGCTTGGATGGGTCAGTCAGCTGAGCGGTGCTCTCACTGTGGGAGCACATTGACCACCAGGGGGCAGCTCCTGCATTGAGCATCAGCCCCCTGGTGGTCAGTGTGCATAATAGCGACTGGTCATTCTGCGGTTTGGTCAATTTGCATATTAGGGTTTTATTATACAGGATTGGTTGCAGCAGCACTCCCAAATGTTAAGAATCAAGAATTCCACCAAACCGTGTCTTTTTTTCCCCCCTCGATGTTGGCTGAGGATTATATTGCTTTCATCCAGCAAAGATACCACATCTGAATACACAGGTTGGCATTACCACTTGATTACATTTGCAATAAACTACTGTCATTCCCCATGACTCGGATGGTGAATAAATAGGACTAGGAAGAAAACATCCATCCCTGCATAATTCAAGTTTGATGGCGGCACCAATCTCTGCGAATCCTGCAGGGATGTGGTATTGACTATCCTATATAATAAAGAGCTAATATGCAAATGGTCACCATGCCCTCGTGCCCTCTGCCGGGGCTGGGGACCTGAGGCCGTGCCCCCACCTGGCGCTGGGCTGGGGGACCTGAGGCTGCGCCCCCCGCCCTATGGGGTTTGATGGGACTGGGGCCTGTCGGGTCTGGGTCTTGCACAATTTCAAGGTGCGCGCGGGTGGGCAGATACTCAACTCTGGGTCCCGTGGCGTGCCCCAGACTCTGACAGGAGGGAGATTTTCATATACATTTTACTAATTTTCTTTCATCTCTGACACTTCTATTATAAAGGGCAAATAGCAATATTAAGATATTTCTGCTAATTAATTCCCTTTAATGTGCACGAATTTTGTGCACCAGGCCACTAGTGTGTGTAACTTAAATATATATTTATTTAAAAGTTTATTGATTTATTGAGAGGAAGGGAGAGGGAGAGAAACATCGATGAGAGAAACATTGGGTTGCTTCCTGTAGGCACCCTGACCAGGGAACAAACCTGCAACCTGTGCATGTGCCCTGACTGGGAATAGAACTGGAGACTTTTCAGTGCATGGGATGATGCTCAACCAAGCCACACTGGCCAGGGCTCTTGCTCTTTTTTAGTGAATGTATTTTTCTCTTTGAGCACATAAACCTATGTAAAGTCTTTTATCAGACCATTCCATAAAATTAATTTTATCTGGG